TTGCGACCACTTGGCCAACGAGGCAGTAAAACAAGTATCTTTAACTGACAACGTAGTTAACGTAGAGAATTTGAAAAAAAAATACAAAAGTGTCATTGTAACTATTGTGTAACTACTTCGGAAAGTTCGGAAGCCCCTATCCTGAGAACAACCCGAGCGTGCAGCCATCAGACCTCCACAGATGAGGCCCAATGGGGCTGATGCCGATACAAAGTCGCGGAGAACCTAACGGGTTACCGGGGCTCCAGGTCGAAGTGCAGGAGAAGGAACGGGGTGGTTATTAGTCAGTAAGAGTCTGACACTCCCTTCCGCTTCACCCGGGCGAGAGAAGTCAACCGATGATTTTCCCCCTTCAAAAAAAATGCTAAGAAATTAGAACTTTCTTTAGTAAACACGAATGGCATTTGTAATACACGATCTTAATCAATTATGCATTGAGATCAAGTAGAGTGACCTAATAAGAACAAAATAGTTGGCACAAATGCACATACTGTACACAATCTGTAGGTACCTACACAATGTCCTTACGTAACGATACGGAGATAAATAAATAGCATAAGATTGTACGTAGAAGTCGAATATTCATCCATTGTGCTCAAATATCGGCTAAAGAATCCACATTCAATTTTGAATATAAAATGGACAAATCTAATATTATTAGGTTACTTAAGTAAATGATTTGGAACAAACTTATCAAATAATAATAAGTAGGATGTAGGAGTTTTAACTTTATCTACTAGGCTATTGGAAAATAAAATAATCTATAAAAAATTAAAGACGTGTGTTTAAATGCTAAAGACCATTGACATCAAATGCCATAAACTTGTATATTGAACTTGTGAACACATCATAAACAAATAAGAACATTCGTCGGCCATAAATCAGTTCGTATCTTGTACCACGCCCGAAATATATGCAAATCAGCTCGATTATCTTGTAAGCCAAAATCGGCATGAGCACATTTTTGTACATGTCTCAACCAGTAGGTAGGTACAGACTCGATAATCTACCTTTTTTTATATAGATTCCCTGTTGCAAGGGATTTTTTGAGGGGGAAATATCCTCGAATGGCTGGCCCAGAGTGAGGCAAGACGTGGATTTTTGTAAGGCGCAAAATTATTAAATGACTTCAACCACCTTGGGTGAAGCGTGACTAACGAGAGGGAGTGTAAAAACCACCCCGTTCCAAATCCAGCTCGAACCGGGCCGCGGTAGGTACCTATGACATTACGTTTATGCCAAAACCCTATTGCAAGGGTTGTATATAGAACTTCGGTATACATTTTTAGGCTATTATTATTAGGAATAAACTTTAGACTGAGTTTCCATAATATAAGTTAGAAGAATAGACGAGTAGACAAACGACCTGATAAGTGATCAGTGCTTCCAATCCAAACCATTTCAAGACACAATTGCAACACCCAGAGAAATTATAAGCGTAAATATTGCTGACACGAGACTGTTATTCCTTTTTTTTAGACTTCGCAGTCATTTTCATCAAAGTTGCATAACTCTCGCCACAAACAGGTAAACACATCCAAGCCTGAGACACGATGCTCAACGACCCTGCAATCACATGACAGTACCATAAACTTGCTTTGTACATACATGAAGATACTTTTTACTTCAATTTACCTCTACAGCTGTGGGATAACGGAAAATGAGATGATTATGGCTTTGATTACGTGTTTCTGCGCTTGTATTTACATAAGGACTTCTTTGGGCTTGTTTAATTTGGATGTTTTCTATTCAGAAGGCAACCAACTTGTGTTTTCGAGAAAATATATGCTACACACTGGCTTTCAGGTGGTGTTTCTTTTCACTTAGAATACTAACCTCATCTATCTAGTATACTTACTTTTCACCATAATTCAGGAACAAATAAAACAAAAGCTAACTTATATTACATTATATAATTAAAAGATCTTGTCTCAATATCATTTACAATACGTAAAAACGTCTCATACTATTTACATCTCAATTCACAACTCATTTACAATAATAAATCACAAAAATATATAAAAAAAATTCTGAAATAAAATGGACAGTAGAAAATTCTCCATTTACATAGAACCTCATTTGATCATATACTACAAACACTGTACATTATTTACATATTTTTTTTTCAATACTGCATCTTGAGTTGTCAATTTTTCTTGGCTGGGCCAGATGGAAGACACATAGTGCCTATCAAACATAATATGCTTAGTATGTACATGTATGTCTCGCTAAAGAGTGATTAAATAAAACATTTTTAAATTCGAAAGTGGAGGTCAACAGTTTCGACATACATAAAATGAATGGTTCCTTTGAGGATAATAAACCGGTTTTTCTATGACACCGAATATTAAAATGATGTCTATTATCATAGAGATATTAACACATTTAACATAACTTTACCCTGAATATGAGTAGCAATTCTTTGATAACATTTTCGCATAGTTTCAGATCTAAAGTTATACGAAAATGTCACACAGCATAATATAATTTTCTATTTCATTATCAGTAACATTCAATTATAATAACATTATTTGTTAAATGCATTGTGTGCATACGATTGTTTGAATTGCACTAAAAATCTATTCTGAAAAGAGACAAAACTACCAACTTTCCATTTTTACAAACAAAACCAAACTTTTTTATAATTAAAAACGTGAGACCCCCTTATTCAATCAGGCAACTAAATTCATAATTATAAATAACACAAACAAACAATACATACGACAAAGTTGTGCAGTTTTGAGATCATAGTCAATGTAGGACCAGCAATGTTGTACCATGAAATCAAATGTATTGATGACATTTATGGACCATTGGTTGTAGTAAGTAGTAAACATTTTTTGAACTTCTTAGCTTTGGAGTCTTCTAGGTATAAAATCAGATAGAAAATAATGCTTAATGTGAAAAAAACCTGTTTGAAGTCAGTTACAAAGTTAGTTGAACGAACATCAGAAATTAATTAGACCATTCAAGTGGAAGAGATAATTAACTAATAATAACAGAATTATACATTAATATACCTTGAGAACTTTTGGAAAAGGAAAACTGCATCCTAATTTCTCAGCTATAAAATGACATTTTGTTGGCAATACAGCAATAAGTACTACCAAAAGATATATACGAAAAACTTCTGCAGTGTATATAATATATACAACATAGAAGACCCCAAATCACCTGAAATTATTACGATACAATTATTTATAAACTCCTTGGTGTTTGTTCTTTTAGTTTATGTTTACAACAAAATAGAATTGTATAAATTCGAAATATTTTGTCACAACATTACCAATTACAACACAATCAATGATAATTTACGAAAAACAGATTAACTTGGAAAACCAATGTGAACATAGAACACTGTTTCATAGATAATTTAATTACCAAACCATTTCATAGAAAGTATGAGAAATAAAATTTCATAATTTTAATGTGCCAATAAGATAATTACAATCGATTTATCATCACATGAAACATGTTTGGGATAAACATATGAAATAAAATTCATAATTGAATTAAGTTTCTAAACATATATGTCACACAATAGTCATTTTCATAATTATGAAAATGACTATTGTGTACAGAATACAAAGTATTGCTTTTAGAATTTAATGAGAACTAAATTAACTAAAATCACGGGTTACTCACGTGAATATACTGAGAAAAGCTCTACTAGTTTCGAACCACAGAGGGGTTCTTCCTCATGAGCAGCGTGCGCGGTCGCGGCGACGTCGCGCAGCTCTCAGTATATTCACGTGAGTAACCCGTGATTTTAGTTAATTTAGTATGTCTCACGATAGTTGTTATAAAAACTTAATGAGAACTGTTAATCCTTGTCGACTCTGTCATCCAACGATAGTAGGCGGAGATGATAACCTATGCTAAAAGAAATTATTGCTATCTTTTCTTCTTCTGTACAAAGAGAAAAAGACGGAATCAAAATGACAGATGTATAAAAATACAAATATATTTATTTATAGTTTTAGACATAAACAGAAAAAGTAGAAGAATGTAATAAATAGATTTGTATATGTTAAATCATTGTGAGTGCAATGATACAAATTGTGCATGGGCAAGTTTTCTTTAACAATTACCCTCCCCTTCTCCAATATCCCCACCAATTCCTGAATCCCCAACGATTCTCAAAAGGCCGGTACCTAACGCACTTGTAACGCCTCTGGTGTTCCAGGTGTCCATGGGCGACGCCGATTGCTTACCATCAAGTGATCCGTCAGCACGTTTACCGGCTTATGCCATAAAAATACTTAGATATGCGCCATAAGAATGTCTCGAATAGGGTAGATGGCTAATTTTTATTTTAATATCCGTCTGGTAGATCGTTAAAAACATTATACACATATTTTTTATTTTCTTACGGAAACTAATAGTTTCGAAGATATATTGATTTGAAATATCGTATGACGTCACTTTTGAGTACGATTTATATACTCTAAAATGACGTAGCTACCTCCCACTCTTAAACTATGATTCGTTTTATTGTTTTCTTATACGACAAAATAAAAAAGTACGTGTCTAATATTTTTTCATTACGTAACTGACGGATTAATTAGACTTTAAATTTTCATATCGTCATCATCACTATTTCCGTCATTCACTTAACCAACCAATCGAAGTGCTCTGATTGGTTGGTTCATTAGAGCCGGCCAATCAGAACGCAACTTTAAACATAAAACAAAGTAGTACTAAGCCCGTTCATCACTTTACACTCATTCTAAATTATTATATAATGTATCATTCATTTCATCAAATATTAAGCATAGTTCATTTAAAAAAAGTTACAATTCAACAATATTCTGTCTTTATCTCCTTCATCTACCAAAAAAAGATAGCAACACTGATAAATTCTTATTTGTTGGACAACAGAGTACTAAAAATGTTTACATACATGTTATGTTTTCTTGTTGCACTCACTCTGCCTGGCAGTCAATCACTCCACACGCTAGCGTATGCACTAGTATATAGCCTAAGTTCTTCTGTACAGTCTATGAAGCTCTCCGCTTTAATGTTACTTTGCCGCGAGCTAACTGAGATATGTATATCCGTACTCGCTCCACGTTGTTCTTTTTTACCACTATCTGTAATAAGAAATAGATCACATGAAGTCATTTTGCTAAATAGAATGAGAAAGATTAAATTGTCATAATGTTACAGTCAGCATATCTTTACAAGGATGTTATATAGGTCTGTTTGTTGGTAAAAACTAAAAAGCGATCTAATGGATTTTTATGTGGTTTACAAAAGTGAATTTCTGAAGTAGTTATCAAGTCATAAATCGTGAAGTTTTAACTACACAGAGGAAACTAGGGATTGAAAATTAGTAAATGTATGAATGAAAGACACATACCGCCTCATCAGTAATGGCGTGTATATGTCCAGGGAACTTGGGCATATCCCGTCCCTCCACTGACACACTCTGGCCACGATGGTACCATCGACGCTCATACAGCAGCTTGCCATCCTCCACTCGCGTCTCCGTTGTCTCACCGCTGTCTCGAACTGGTGAATCACCTGGAAATTACAATATACTCATAATGTCTTGCAAAACTAAACGTATGATGTAAGATGTTATGGAAACTAAAAAAAATCTACATAGAATGTGGATGAAGACATAGGTGAATTTTCAACTTTATTTTTAGAAAAATAATAGCAATTTCAACTTTTTCATAAGTTAATAACAAAAATGTTCATAAGACATAAATAACTCACAACTATTAGAATTTAAATGCTTCCTGGGTTGCGTGGAGTTGTGCGCTGGCGCGTGATGCCTGGGTGGCGGGGAATGCCGCGAGATGGCGCGGAGGTCTGCCTCGATGTCTCGCTCATCCAATTGGAACGTGAGCGTTGTCGTGAGGGGCTTCCGACGTTTCTCAGGCGCAGGCGCTGGCTCATTCGCTCGCCGTCTAAGAATTCGCTTCATCACTGGTTTTACCTGAGGATATATGATTTTATTTACAATTGAACGGTATTTTGTTTTGCTTATGAAATGTTTATATAACATTTTAATAAACATTTAATATAAATACATTATTCAGCAAAGTATGTACACAATGAAACAAGAGTTACTCTTGTACTTTAAATAAGACATATTTATGTTATGTACACTTCTTACCTCCATAGAATCTCCATTCAGCTCCATACTATGCCTCTCACTCTCAATCATTTTCCTCTTATCCTCGAAGTCATTTAGTAAATTTTCCCTTAACTCTATCTTCTTTTCTTCAAACTCTTTTGCTGCTGCTTTCTTCTCTGCTATGTATTCTCTTTCAACTACATCATACATGTGTTCCCTATAATAGTAAAAAAAATTATATAATAATTGATTGACAAAAAAGTTTCAGTTACAGATATTGATGAAAATTGTAATTTGTTACTCTATTTCAACAAAATTCAGTATTCTGGCTTGTATATATATAATTTAGGAATACTACATATTACTAACCTATATATTTTATTTATTCTGATCCTCTCATTTAGTTGATGTTCTAGCCGCTTGACCCTCCTCAAGAACTCTGGGTGAATGCCATCCTCGAGCTGCTGCAGCTGTTTCTTCAAGTTAGCCAATTTATCTTGGTATAATCTGTAAATATTAAAATAACTATGATAGAATATTAACTATGTACATATTCACTAAGACAATATATTTGTGTTAATGGAAATATACAACAGAGAAACAACAAAAAACTTAAAAACAATATAATTTTCATATAATTTTCTCTTTTAACAACATATTCTTTTGATATATGACTGTATTAATAAATTATATTGCTAGAGCTATTAGATTAGAGACGTAAATGATGAAATTTAAAATATTTAGTTTAATAATATAATGTATGTCAACATACTGTTCTTTAACTTCCAGTGGCTCATCATTGTGGGGTATGTCTGTCTCACTCGCTTCTTCTGTGTCTGAAATAAATATGAATAGGATATAAATATACAAAGTGTTCTTGTATTCTTGTACAATTATGTACTGTATTGCAAGTTATTGCAATTATAACTGCATCTTGCATCAAAAATATTAATTGTTTCAGTAATTCTGAAATTCTCTATCTTTTCCAGGGTTCAAAAGATGGGAAATATGTATACCATAATGTCCTAACTTGGATGCCAATTTTATTGGTTCTTAATAAACTTAGGTTAAGCTCATGAATGTATTTAATTCCTATAAAATGTCCGTCTCATAGATTATTTTAAATCATCAAGACACATTTTTTTTTCTAACAAAAACAAATGATTTGAAATGTCGTGTGAAGTCATTTCTATGCACATTTTATATGTAGAAATGATGTTGTAGCCTTCTAAACTTTCATTCGTTTTATCTAAGTATTGTTTTATTATATGACAAAATTAAAAAATGTGTCTAATATTTTTTGATTACCTAACTTACAGACTAATTAGATTTTTAATTTTCATACCCTGTCATCATCCCTATTCTGTGGATAGGGATTATCCACAGCCTGAGGTACTAGCCCAAACATATACCATTTTAACAATAAAATTCTCTATTATTAGTATTACACTGAATCTGTATACCATGGTGTCTGTAACAGTATTGTGTATTTATTATTTTGTGTTATTGTTAACTTGTCTTTGATAATGGACATGCTCACAGGAAGATAAAGACTCATGAATTCAATACAAACTGTATGAATTAAGTTACCTTGACAGATATGCCATCATAGATATGACATGTTTTACGTATGATAAATGAAATAAGGTAGTATAACAGCTGCATAAACTGACTGAAGGACAGTAGTAAGTAAGTTGACTGGATAATGAAAGTTCCTTTTATAACATGTGTTTATTGGGAATTATTAAATGCCCCTATTAAATGGGACTCATTTCATAAATAGTAACACATAGGTGTTATGATGTACAGCGGCATTAAGTGCCATAATGTGCACCTCTATTGCTATTGTTTTAATACAACAGGTAAATGATTTGTGGTATGTTAGTAAACATTACTTAATTTTATCTGTATTATAATCAGAGTGAGATGTCCATATATCCTTGAAAGTGAATATAAAATCATCTGTAATTTGTAATGAATTAAATAGAATGATTTTTATATACCTAGTGAATTTTAAAATTATTTCTACAGAAAAAGTATGTTATGTTGTTTCCATTTTAGACCTAGTTTAGTAAGTTCATAGAATAATAAAGATATGAATTGGCATATTATATTTCCCCCTAAGATGAATGAGTGGTAATAATAAAAGTGGTTAAACTGTTATCAGTTACTGGTGATAAGCAGATTAATGGCAGAGGGGATAGTGAACAAGTTAGTATCATAGTTTTTTTTTTGGTGATTATATTGGTCTTATAGGTGTGATTCAATAGCTAGTTAAACCAAACAGACTACAATTTTTGTCAATGTCGTATTATTTTTATGCTGTCCTTAATAATAATGCCCCATGTGACTATGCCATATTAGATCAAGAAAGTTGGCCAAATATTACTATTTGTACAAAAGATTTTTATGGAGAAAGTGACATCAAAACGATCGAATTACGTCACCTAACAGGTTGGTATAAAATAGGCGGGAATACTACAGTATGGTTAACCATGTACATAGGTAACCTTGTTGTAATTACATAACCAATGTTTACATGTCATCAACAACTCTATATGGACACATATACAAGAGTATAGATGAAGTTTAATGAAATAAGATACCAAAACAGGGTTAGACAAAGATCGTAAACAAAACATACCTTCGTCACTGTCCTCGACTGGAGGTGCTGCTGGTAACGTGTCGTCTCTGTCCCTGTATTCGTCCAGGTCGTCGTACCCATCGTCCTCGAAGTCATACTCGTCCCCGGGGCCCGAATATGATCCTTGGCAAGACATAGTCGAGGCGACGCGTAATAGTTGCATACAGATTGGGTGCGATCACCGTCTCAGAAACAAACTCTGACAACGAGTAACACCAATAACGACACGAGGAACAAATGGCAATTAACAGTTATGTTACTCATATAAAGAATTTAACACAAAATCCACTTCAATGAAAAAATGAAATTGGAGCAAATTGAAGCTGTTTTACGTCAAACTGGACAAAAAGCATCATGTTACCCTTTCAAAAGTAAAAGATCAACAAAAAAGAACCACTGGCGCTAGTGATGCGTAATATTCTGTGGGAGTAAATGAAAGGTCCGATTGTTTTCCTTATTGCACGTCATTTTAGGTAGGATCGAGTTAAAATCATAGACTATGGAGTAATTTTATGAGTAATCTACTAAAACAATGATATCATTTTGATTATCGATTCTTATTTCTTTTCAATTTATTATTTTTCCTTAAAATACAAAAAGCGTCAGTTTATCAAGGACTTTAAAAAAGGACGTAATGAATGTCACTTACAAAATGATTAAAGCACTAAAATTCTGTGCATGTGTAATAATGGGTTACCATGTTACCAAACTTGAAAATATTACAGTTATTATAATACTTCGTCCCAATGTTCTTTCAAGAGATTGTGTCCGCCTTTTTTTAACGTCCTTGCAGATTATATTTATCAAGTAATCAAAGTTTTTATTGCATCCATAATGTACACATACAGATGGTTAAAGGGAAACAATAGTAACAATTATGGATTCTGTCGGGCACAATAAAATTTTAAATTGATAAGAGAGAGAAAGGGCGTTTACAGGAGACTGTTTAAAATAAGTTTCTCACCCAGTGACAATGGCACAAGGACGTTGAAAAAAATGCGGATTTAATGTCACTTTCCTATAATTGAAGCATCAAAATGCCGCTTTTTGTGGTTCTATTGGCTAGTATTGACTTATATTTTTATGTGCTGGCTTTTATTGATAAAAGACTAAGGGGAGGCCTTTGTCCAGAAGTGGACGACTTCCGGCTGTTGATGATAATAATGATGATAGGTATTTAAGAAGGTTTAATTCAACTTGAATAAGTACGGTTGAATAAAATCATTGTTTTATTAGGTTTTGCGTTTTTACTCCGTACATCTTTGGGTATTCTTCTTAGCCCTTCTTTTTTTATAGCTAAAATATAATGCTATTCAAAACAAGTACGAACTAAGTATATCATAAATCGACTAAAATAAAAAATCTTACTAAAGATCATTCGTGATCACGCAACGTTCATGTATTTTAAAAAGTTTGTTTTGTCTATTGTTATGATTTGACGTCACGAAGGTGGACGTCATCTTGAATGAAAAATTCTTATTTTATTATTTATTTTGCTAAATTAAACACGTAACGCGGAGCTACATTCAGTGATAAACGATAAAATTAAACAACCCTGCCTGTGATGTTTTCAATCAATATCAGTTCTGTGTCTAGCGAGTGAAGGTGACGCTATACGCTATTGTGTCGGTGATGTAATTTAGGTGATTGGGTGGCTTCCTAGTCCTAAGTACTAACTACAATGGAAGAGTCCTCATTCACGATCCCGGCCGACGACAATGGTGATACTGAGCTCGACCCTAGAATACAGGTCAGTGAGTGAAAAATAATGTACTGAGTAACTGTTTTGGTAGGCCCTTTTAACTGCAAAGATGAGTGTCAACTTTGTCGATTATTTCGCCAACGAGCACAATGGATACGATATCTTATATCAAAACATGAAATACGGACTCATTGCCAGCAAAGAGCTCTCAGAGTACCTTAGGGAAAGGTCGAATATAGAAGAGACCAATTCGAAATCTTTAGCTAAACTAGCGAAACAAGCGAATAGTAATTGCGCGCAAGGCACGTTCGCTCCATTTTGGGGCGTATTAAAATGTTCCGCCGAGAAACTGTCCAATCTACATCAGCACATGTTTCAGAAACTTAGTGAACTTGTCAAAGATGTTGCAAGGTATGCTGAGGAGCTTCATAAGAAGCACAAAGCTGTTAAAGACTCTGAGTCTAACACACTAGAGGTAGTGTTACTGATACAGAACACCAAACAAGCTTTACAGAAAGCTAAGGATGTGTACACCAGTAAGTCAGCTGAGCTAGAGAAACTGAGGAAAGATAATGCATCTGCTAAAGATATTGAGAAGGCTGAGGTTAAGATTAAGAAGCTGCATGAAGACTACAAGCAATTAGCTGAGAAGTACAACCTGGTGAAACAAGACTTTGAAAAGAAAATGACCCAGACATGCAAACACTTCCAAGATGTTGAGGAAGCACATCTCAAACAAATGAAACAGTTTGTCAACTCATATGCGGATATTATTCAGAACAATCATGATATGATGGGACAAGTGCATCGAGATTTCAAACACCAATGCTTGGAATTAACTGCTGAAAAACTGCTTGAGCAGTTCCTTATTGAGAAATATAATGCAATAGAGAAGGCAGTTTTAGTTGAACTACCTCTTTCATTACCTAAGCCTGGATCAGCTAACAACTCTATATCAGAGGCTGACCAGATATCAACTGTCTCAAATGGGTCACACAAACCTGCACAACCAGCTAAGGCACCAAAGAAGGAGCCATCATTTGCAAGTAAGACTTCAAGGAGAACTACCTCACTTTTGAATTTGTTTACTCCAAATTTCCAAAGTAAGGAGGAGCCTAGTGGAAGTATCGAGGGTGCGGCACCATGTTCTGCACCATCCAGCCCCAGTGGTACACCAGCCACGCCAGTAGCACCTGATAAAGATGACAACATGGGCAGAACTACACTCAGAGAATCTAAATGGTTCTTGCGTAGTAGAAGAACTAAACCTAAACTGAAAAAACCAAAAAAGAAGAAGGATGAAATTTCAGAAAACTCAAATACTGGTGAAAAGTCTGATTTAGAAGAGAAAGAGGAAGAAGTACCAACAAAAGAAGATTTCATGAATTCTCCAGAAGTTGATGAAGAAGGCTACTGTATTAGACCCAAAGATGAAAAAGGAAGTGTGTACTCCTCTACAGATTCAGACTCAGAAGAGGAGAGGGAACAGAAGATTCATGTAGAAATTAAACCCATAAGTAATGGTTGCAATCCAATATCAGCTAGTGTAGATGAGCTTAGAGCTACAGTCGAAAATATATCTCTGTACAAAATTGGCACAAACAGGCGCGGGTCTAATGCAAACACTAGCAAAGCAAGCAGTGATCTATTAGACTTGAACTTCTTTCAAAGTCCGACAGTCAGCAACCCTGCGTCGCCACATGGCAATGTTTCCAATCCCTATGCCCCTTTGCAAGGCAATCAATCACATTTACTTGAAAGCCCTACTCCTGTTTCTAATGCTGAAGTTGGCGATCTTTTTTCGGAAGTAGGAGAAATGGGCCAAACAAACATCCGAACTTCCACTCCTACGATGTCATCCATCTCACTCCCTCGTCCACCGTCGCGACGGTCTGAAGGTGACTTCCGCACCGCCGGCTCCTCGGGGTCACGCGGTCCTTCACCGCTTACTATCGGTATGGCGGATACTATACCGTTGGCTGTCGCTTTCCATGAGATTATCCATTCCTATTTCCGTGGCACGGAAGAATCAAAGTGCCAAGTTAAAATGTCAGGAGATATGATGCTCTCCTTTCCCACTGGCATCGTGGGCGTATTAGCTAACAATCCGAACCCAGCTAAATTATGTTTTAGACTGAAAAACATTCATAGATTGGACAATGTGCTACCCAACAAACAATTGATTAGTATTAACGCGATGATGTCGACTCGTGACAACACGGTGGTTGAGTTTAACATGCCAGCTTTAACGTCACTGCTGAAACGGCAGTCTGAAAAGAATCCTACAGCGCAGTACTTCAACGTAGATATACTTAAATACCAAGTCCGACCTAAAGCGGGCGCCGCTTCCTGTCCACTTCAAATGGTATCTTATTGGAAATGTGAACAAGATCATACTGACTTAAAAGTCGATTATAAATATAATTTGCACGCAATGAGTCCGCCTTCTCCTCTGCTGAACGTATCAGTGTGCGTGCCTATGAATGGGGGAGTTAAGAACGTGATTGCAATGCCGAAAACCGCGTGGAGTGGAGAAAATGAGCAAGCGATGTGGCGCTTCACTGAGCTGTCGCAGCATTCGGAGGACAGGGGCGTAGGCTCGCTGAAGGCGCGCTTCGAGCTGGGCAACGGCCCGTCTAGCAAAGCAACGATTTCGGCGCAATTCAATTGCGAGGGCGCGACCCTCTCCGGCATTGAGTTTGAACTAATAGGCAGCGGCTACCGACTGTCCCTCGTAAAGCGACGGTTCGTCTCTGGCAAATACATTTGTGATAGTGATTTGAACTGATTGGTCCAAAACACTTATGAATACACATGTTTGTATATAGATCTTGTTGTCGTATATTCGGAGCGTGTATATGGGATGTGTAGGTTTCTGTACTACATGTTTCTTGTGTGTATATGTTTTGGTACCTTATAGGACTGTTTCCTGTCCACAAAAAATAATTTACAATAATGTATCACAACATTGTTTGTCAATTTTCGAGTTAAATTGTTAGTTGTTAATTTGGAAATTGTATTAATTAATGATTAGGCGTATATATTTCACATCTACTAACTTATTTTTCAGAATAGTTAATGTGCCATTTTTACTATATTTTGTAAATTTCCATGTGAGAACTTGACTGTTGCACTAATACACAATACAATAAAGACAATTATTATGTTCACAAAACTATTAGGTAGGTACTCAGCCTATTTTTATAAAGATACATCACATTTTATGCTGATTGATTGAATATACAAACTTTCTCGTCAATCTACATAAAGTCTTATCAAAGAATTAGCAATAATTAATTATCGTTTTGTTTACCTACTGCTGAGCAGACTTACTAAATAATTAAACCTTTCAATTTTATTTGGTAGTTGTATAACCCCAGGATATAAAGCTTTAAAGCAATAATATTATATCATTAACTTGGATGTGTTGTATGGAATAATTATCACTTGAAATAATATTTTTAATAATTCTGAGGTCAATGATTAATATAGCAATTTGTCTTTAGATTAAACAAACAGCAATTGCGTAATTATTATTCAAGTTAAAATTATTTTTTGTTTGTACAATTGTGTTTTTGTATTGCATCTGTTTATATTTTTGTAAAGGCCTAAGGAATGCAACAATTGAAAACAATGAGAAGGCCACAAATCACTATTAAAGAATTATTTGTTTATATTTTTAATTATTTCATTTATATGTGAAGTTTGACACTAACATTTGTAATTGGACTGACGTAAAATTATAACATTTTGCTCTATGAAGCGTATTCTTGATTTTAGCATCGATAATAATCTGTATGCTCTCAAAACAAAGTCTCACTTTAGATTTCATCGCTTTAAAAAACTCGAATGTGTACTGTACCTACTTACTTACTTTTTACCCGGTCTATCTAACATAATTATACTGATGTTCCACTATTCCATGCAATCCTTAAGTTACATATTTTTATTTTAGTAAATTAGTTAGTGTCAAACATCACACAAATAAACCATTATTTTCATTAATTAATGTAACTATTTTTTAATATAAATAAATATATTACATTATTATTGCGAGTAAGGTTCATTGAATCTCCGTGTTGCATAATGTACTATCATTGATTTTATTGTAATTTTCAACATATGCTAATTAAACATGTTGATGTTGTATTTTTGTAGTCAGCATTTAGAATTCGACCACCGGAGAGGATTTTTGTTATTGTGGAAATTATTTTTTTATGTTTGCAATACCATAATGAGGAGTAACTTATTAAATAATTTTAACTCATTTATATGTAATCTCATATTGTAATTTTTATATTTAAATAAAAATCATTAATTATCCCAGCGGCCTAATGTGAGTTACGAAAATAGCTAAGTGACTAACTTTACCAAAAGTTAACGTGTTCATATTACGATTTATTATATTAAAGGTCAAACCATATAATAAATAGTACCTACAACTGAACCATTCCATTATTACTATTATTGTCTCATAATTGAGTATTATTTTATTACTATTAAAATATCTATGTATCACAATTTATTCTTTTTAACATACTATAAAGGTGCGTAGCTATTCGGCTGAGTTTAAAAAAAGAACGTATTCAAAAAATCTCTTTTTCTTTTTATAAAAAAATTAGATAAAAAAAATTTTGCTAAATGCGTAATAAAATATTTTTGTAACGTAAAATTTATCGCATGTATGGATTATAATTATAATGTAACTATGTTAATTTGAAATAAAATGTAATTTAGCATTTATTTAGTTATTTTATTAGTGTTGTATCATAATAATATCGTCACAATAGTTAATGAAATGGGCGTAAACTATGTAAGTAATGCTTTTTAGTTCGCTTTTGTTTGTAGGGACAGGAAACGTTCGTCGTATAAGGTACAGACAGTTAGATAAAGTGTGATATTTTGTCTTTTATCTAGACATAAGTGATAAATGTTTGTATGGTGATAAAAGTTGATGAACCTATAGTAATGTCGCGGATGTTTCCCGTCTCTACATGTTGCTTGCTGTTACCATTCGTTTGGGAGTACAATGTGCGTGTGCCGTGCGATTGTCTCAAGTTCTTCAATAACTTCCAGGTGGAGCTTGAGAAGCTTAACGCAGCCACCGATGAGATCAATAAACTGGAACTGGAGCTAGATGTAAGTGATTCAAAATTTATTTCTTTTACCATAAAGTTTAAAATTAATCTGTTTTAGTTATGTACGTGTTTTTTCTATCAAGAAATATTCTGTAGCTAACTATAATGAGTTAAATAGGTTTAGAACATATTTATTTCTCATAAAGAAACACATACATACTTCGCTTACTAAGAAACAATATTTAACACAAAAGTAAGCAATTTAGAGCGCACAGTAGTACGTACATATAACAACAAGAACATAAACTATACAAAAAGAAAAACATATTTTTATGGACTATACGCTTAGTAGAAACGGTTGTATTACCAGTAATTGAGACTTCATTAAATTGAACTCAAAATAATGGCGTCTAATGATTTAACTGCGTCAAAAAAGGACTAATTCCTCAAAATAGCATACAATTTTTATAGTTAAAATGGATTTACAAAGGAACTATAGTTCGTTTTTATAGCTAAAATACTTTCCTAAACAGTTCTAACTACTTATAACCAAGGTAATGGGAAAAGTTATTGACCCCTTTGCAACTAAACTCGCAAATGTCACGAATCGAACATATTTTTGTTAATGGTGGTTCCGTAAAAACGTAAATAAAAAAACTGGGGCACTTTAATAACTTGGCATGCCTAGATATTTACAACGAAAAGTGCCTTACTTAGTACGAATGTAAAATTGTTGTATTCAACTTGGCAGGCTTCTCCATTTAACCCCGTGAACTATATTTATAGACAGGGTGTGACATATTTTGGGTAGGCCAAATTTATTCCAACGGTAGGAATGTTTAAATATAGGCTACAATTTTTGTGTTGGTCTCGGATATAGATAGTTTAAGATGTGAATATTGCTCACTTCCCATTTACAAATCCCATGTGTCAGAGTTAATTCTATAGTCTGAAAATGTAAGATTACTTTTTTAACAAAAAAATTGTTTCATAGAATAAAAAATCGTAGGAAGTTGCCGTTTATACAAGCAGACATCATTGAGTCATCATGAGCGGAACATGAATATTTAATTATCACTTTGTGTAGACACAAAATTCCACATTTATCTGTATTTCGCAACGTATGAGGAAATGTTCTCTGATCAGATGATATGCATATAAGAAAGATCTAGATTTTTCTTTAGACTTTAAATATATAGACTTCAGACAAGAAATTACGTTTTTGTCGCATGCGCACTACCATGAGCGCCATTGAGTCTATCCCAAAACATTTCTTGTAGTTAAACGGTTTATTACAAACCGGGTAAACTATACCCGGTTTGTTTGTTTGGGTCTTTAGTAATTGGAATTTTAGCCCTTCCTGACGACAGATCGATCTGATATTTGGTACACACTTGATCTTGATAACCACACTCATTTAAAACCATTTAACATAAAAAATATGTATTACTTATTTTCCCTCCATCGTGCACCCAAAACACGTTAGAAGTTCATTTGTTTTAGAAGACAACCCTTATCAAAAAAGACCAACCGGAAACCCGGTTACTAAATGATACATAGATTAAATACTTCCTTATTGTCACGCATCCGATAAAATCGTCGATGTTATCAAATACACAAAGAAAGTGAATCTTCAAAACTGAATCAATAAAGCATAACATTTGTTTTCTAATAATAACTGGCCTAGATAAAAGATATCAATGATTTACGACCAAAGCGAGGTCTTTGAATCATTTTACTTCGTCATTGTGCTAAGTGGCAGATATTTTCACCAACTATTTACGAGTCTGGCATGATTCATGGCGTTTTATAGTCTAATTTTGAAAGTGATGCCTTTAATCTAGGCGCTATGATAGGCAAAAGGCTTTGTTTTATTATAATTAATGAAGTTTTGCCTACGATAACTTTTATGCGGGAATTCTGAAAGGACAAGGGTGTCAAAGAGGTTCAAGTTTCTTTTGAAGACGTATATTTTAGTAATTATAAGGTTTATTTCTTTAGTGTTTCGTTAAAATGTTGTCTTTTGAATCTTTTATGATACCAAATCTGAATGGTTTGGAAAATCCAGCTGAAATAATATGAAAATGATGATGCAGGGACCTTTCTCGACCATTTTTCAATGCAGTCACATAAAATACGCGACTTTTCTACACGATTGAGCAACTACTGCAGTGGTTTCTATAAGAACAAATATATTGACTGCAATCGATTGAACAAAGTTCACCTTCCAAGCCACTACAATATTTAACAGAGTAAGTGAAGCCCTACATCGGCACCAAAGAGGCCCTTTATCTAATTTTACATTGACCTTGAGGAAACGTAGGTACAAACCGACGGTAACTTAATATATTCTTCATATCTTGGGCAAATTGAATTCCAGATTTCGCTGCGTCTTGTAACGTGGGCGATGAGAGATATCTTGAGATGATATTTTCCTTTTTAATATTTTCGGGTGTATATAGCGACTGAAATTGCTCATTACTTATTGGATGTTAGATATGCAATAATATTAAATTATCAGCATAAATACTAGTCAAAGCGGGTGTACTAATACCCCTCTGCTCTGCTGTTTTTTTTTTGAGGGGGAAAAAATCATCCTATGACTTCTTTGGTTTTGGTAACAGGGAGCGTCACTCTTACAGTTTTACTGACTAAAAACCACCCCGTTCCTACTCCTGCGCTTCGAGCCGGAGCCCCGGTAACCCTTTAAGTCTTTCGCGCCTCCGTATCGGCATCAGCCCCATCTGTGGTGATCTGATAGCCAGCGATGTAGATATCTGCTGGATAGAAAAATAACGGATATATATGCACATATCCGCTATTTTGAAGATATTTTCGTGTACCATTTCTGTCCTTTTACTGCATAAGCAAACTATTAAAAAGAGATTTGGCAGCAGAATCGTTCCGCTCAATAATTCTACCAACAAAATAACGGTACTCTGAACATTAAGCATTAAAATTCATAAACCGACTTCCGAGTGATCGATTGAAATTTCCTAAAATACCTTCAATGTCCCCGTTACAGTTTACCGAGTCAAACGGAGTTTGGGACCGTCTTTTGTAATTCACTCGGTCGGAGTAAATCAATTTGCTCAAGGTAATTTTTTCTCTTTGTTTTATTTCGCTTTGAAGTTAAAGGCTCATTTCCCATGACAAAAATATCTCTGCGTTCATAATGTACGCGTTTGTGTTTATGGGAGTTTGAGGTTAGTTTAGTCTTTAGTTGGTTACTTATGCTCTATTTGAAAGTTTGTTTGGACCGACGTTCTATCGTGGACTATTAACAGACCGAATAATTTAATTCGCGACCAATTTGTCTTTATAAAAATGTACTTAAGCTTAATTGAATGAACCGTTGCAAGATTTACGCTTAGCAACTAATTTCGCAGTTGATTTTTATTTCAACAAATTATACAATATAATCCAATTAGTTTTATGTTTTATTAATTGCCGTAGCAAAATGAATTACTGCTGCAGTATTCTTGTAGTTTTTTGTGGTATTTAAGTTAGTTTAAGACCTAGTTTGTAATTGCAGTGCCTCATATAATTACTGCAGACTAGTGCAGATTGTATAAAGTATAGTGCAGTGGTGTCGCCTAACAAACAAGATGAAAGAAATCCTGTTATGTGCGTTCCACTCCGTAGTTCAGCGAGACGGACCCGTTAAACCAGGCTGTTTTTGCAAGGTCTACGATTACTCAGTTACCTTTTAAGAGAATTTGATCTTGGATTATTAAATCGTGTCATCATATCTGATATTTTATCAACGGTGTTACTTTTCAATAGTGGTTTTATCAGTTCTATGGTAACAGGGGAAATGAAATCCTAAGTTTTTATCCCTATTAAAAACGTCGAAATGAAAGATAGCTACCTAGACCTGTGTGGGGATTGAATAATCTTTTGTGATTGAGGTCTTTTTCATACTTGTATTGTAATAACGACAAGTCTCTCAACGAAATAGTTAATCAAGTAGCTACGACTTAGTTATTGTTCTTGTACAGTATTGTTTGAGAAGAAACATCACTTGTGTTTTCTTTTTATAACAATATTGTTTTCAGCTTATCGAAAGTGACGCAGTTAATCTTCATGACCATCTCTCTGTGTGACTGATTAAATGTTAAACCGATTCGCATTACGCATAAATATTTGTTGATAAGAAGCAAAACTGATTTGTGACAAATACTGGTTCTTACAACAATCAATGCAAGCGTATCTTGCCTTATCTTGCTTATATGCAACTCCTGGTCGCATTACGGAAGGCACTCCATCTAAATGCAGAACATCTTACACTAGCTTATTACATTATATACGTAACATTACGTCTTTTATCCCCGAAGGGGTAGGCAGAGGTGCACATTATGCCACTGTACAATGTAACACCCACTTTTCACTATTTATGTTATGAGTCCCATGTAATAGGGAGTGAGCCTATTGCCATATACCGGGCACAATTTCAGATTCCATGCTACTACTAAGAACTTTTTAAAATCCACTAATACTTTGCCCGACCCAGGCATCACTACTATCAGATTATTATTAATAATTAAATCTAATTCTTCTACATCATTTAGTAAAGAATTTCCTTAAAATACTTAATTCTTGAGAATACACAAGCTACAAGCTATCTTCTCCTATGACAAGACTTCAAGGCTAAAATTTCGAGAGAAAACTCAGTAATTAATTTTACAAAGAAGTCTTATACCGTTTCATTTTACTTAGAACGCGACAGATATGCTCCAGTTATCTCCTACGTTGTATACAGCATGTCCATTTATAAATCACGTACAGAATCGTTCAAAATTTGGCCTGATATGGCCATGTAGCAATATCAGAAATATCAATGCATTGACATTATGAAAAGAGTCATGGCGAGGTAGACTGCAGAGGTCTTAGTACTAGTTTGTTTTAAGCTTAAAGTTATCGTAACGAGTACGCGTTCGGCGCTGTGATTGGCTGGCTCCAATGAACCCACCAATCAGAGCGCCGGACGCCGTTTTGTTTCGATTACTTTAAACGAAAAAGAAACTCGTACTAAGCCGTCTGATTGGTTGGGTCATTGGCGCCGGCCAATCAGATTGCCGAACGCGTACTCGTTTCGAATACTTTAATTAAACATAAATCAAACTAGTACTTAAGGCCTCAGAATAGTTTAGTGCTAGAATTGCGACCGTGGCTTACCGCGTTACAAAACATACTATCTAAAGTCTATATTTCATCCAAATCGTTACGGCAGTTTCTTATGTATAAAAAAATGAAAGCTGAATAAAATTGATTGTCCTTAAATGTCGCCTTTATAACTAAACAGCAGTTCTAATTCTATAAATAGACTTTCTAGTTTTACGACCGTTTCCACCCCTTTTTATATTTGAAAATTTATTTTGTGTACTGGCCAGGAGCAAGCCGTTACATAGCTAGGCAGAGACAGGTGTGCAGCAGCTGTCAATAACCAAATGTTCATTTGGTTTGTTAGTAACTAGTGGAAAGTGAATTTGACATTTTAGTAGACAGTACCCTTCTTTTTCAAACTACTATGAGTACCTTTGCCCCTAACTTTTGATCTGTGTGGGAGAGCCATGCTCAAGTGTGGGAGAGTCATGCTCAAGTGTGGGAGAGCCATGCTTCGGCACGAATAGGCCGGCTCGACCGAAGTGATACCACGGCCTCACAGAAAACCGACGTGAAACATCGCTTACGTTGTGTTTCGTCATGTGACTGAGGTTACCAGAGGCCCAATTACCCCTATATATTCCCTAGTCTACCGAATCCCCGAATCCTCCACAATCCTCAAATTCCCAATTCCCAAAAGGCCGGTAACGCACTTGAAACGGTGTTTCGGGTGTCCATGGGCGGCGCCGATTGCTTACCACCAGGTGATCCGTCTACTTCGAGTCTATAAAGTACATCATGTTTAAAATCCTAAAGAAAAATATCTTTTGCCCAATACCACAGCACCTGTTCATAAAAAAGATATCAACAACAATACTATCAGACGTATGTACTTACAAGGTGCGTCAACGAGTGATAGGACGGAGGTCGGCGCGGGCGCAGCTAGCGTAGATTAGGTCAATTACAGCGGCCAACGTATGAGTATGACACCACATCACATTCGTAGCGTGATGTAACTCGTAATATTTGTACCATTTGTAATATTTTGTTGAAATATGTATGTGGATAGTGGACAGCGTTTTAGAAATTAAAATTTTGACATAGTACCGAATTTATGACACATGTACCTACACACATATTACTCAGTTGTATAGAAAATGCGTGCCTATTAGAACATGTTCGTTTTGGAAACACTTGAACAATAGTTACAAATATCATTCAAAGAAAATCATTGTTTTGAATGTAGTGCTCTGCCAAAATGATCAAAATCACTTTAAACAAATTAGACCTATGCAGTACAGTAATTATCCAGTGCTAAAACTGTATGTACTGTGGTAAATACTAGACTACGTTTCATAGAATTATCGTCTCCTTAATTGTTTGTATTGGTATTCGTAGGTAGAGAAACAATTTGTTGAACATCCTCCCTCATGCAACCATTTAAGTCTTTGAATCTATCATCATCAGCCTATTAACTTCCATTACTGGCCAGCTATCGTCCAATGCACATTGAATTATACTACCATAAGCATAAAGTGCAAAAATAAAAAAAACACTTAACAACCATTTCTCTTATTCATAGGAGTCTATGAAAACATTCCATCTGCTCCTGAATGAGACTTCGCGACGGCTGCAGGCGTGGACCAAGCGGTTGGGGACGTGCGTGGACAAGTCCAGGCCTTACTATGATGCTGTGGGAGTGGCCACCACTGCCAGGCAGGAGTGTCAGAAAGCTGCTGTGCAGTTCCAGAGGGCTAGTGGTGAGTGAGGCACCTATTTTAGAAGTTTTCAAAGGTTTTTGTGTGTCTTTTTGAATGCAGTTCGCCATTCTACATCTCGTAAAAGGGTAAGGATTTCCTTATGGATACCAAAGATGAAAGACAAAAGGCAATCTAACTACTACAAGTCATTCATCACGATCTCAATCAAACTTTTATTTGATTGCGTTGCTATACACAATTAATTTATTTTTAGCGAATTCCTTTTCAAAAGATCAGTATCGCACCTGTGACACCTCTGGTGTTGCGAGTGTCCGCAGGTGGCGCTGATCGCTTACCATCAGATGACCCGTCTGTCGTTTGCCTCCTAATCCATAAAAAAAACTGTAGTAGCATTTTACAGATTTTCAAGCTAATTTAGGTTAACTTACCTAATGAATGTTCTGTGGAATCAATTGCGAAAACGCAAAAAAATAATTGACTTTGTACACTTTATCGGTTTATGTACAACATAAATATAAATATACGTTCTAGTAATATGATTGATGGCTATCGAAATACTTTTGCGTATTTATCGGAGTTAATTGTCTTTATCAAAGATTTATACTTACGAAATCTTATGACGGGTCGTGTTTGTGTTCATGATTACGCGCATTAATCGTAAATTATTTAGATAGACACTCAATTCTAGGGGACTTCCAATATGTAAATATCAAATCAAAATTATCTACTAATCTGTGACGTTTTTCATACATGACTTGTAAAAGTGCAAAAGCCGTATGAACTAACCTTTATTTCAAAGCAGTAAGAACAGTTTTCGCAAAACTTTTGTTGCGGAAATCGAGTCAGATAATATATGACATTATGTAAGACAAATATTCAGTTTGGACATAACTTGAATCTATACGTAACTGACGTGGCGACTCGATTCTTTCATCCCAGGAGTCCAGCGACTTGGCAACACTGCCAACTTGTAAAAGGTACTCTGAATATGATAAACATTTTTATTTGCCCGATAACATTAGGGATTTGTGTATTGTCCGCATAGCATATTTTGTTAGAAGGAATTTCTATTTTATTGTGGAGAACATGTTTGACGAACAAATATTATGTTTTGTGATAAGGTAAATGTCGCACCGTCGTTTTAGAATAGGTATTTTGATATTTTTATGGGAACACCAATTGTGTTGATTTTCATCAATGGTACATAATGTAATGGTTTAGCTAATGAAAAACACTTAGCATGTGTATGTGTACGCCTGTTACACCAGGGGAAGAAAGAACAACAAAGGTTAACCAAGGATTTTCTATAAAAACTATCTATTTCATTTACTATTAATCAATTTCATTCACGTAATAATAATCTATCTATAAAGATAATCATCTTCTTGGCCTCAACCTTAGCCTCGGCTTTTCTAATTTCCGTCTTCGATCCGTTCTAGTGAGCGCAATTTCCGATATTCATATTTTTGGCCGAACTTTTACTATTTTACTTATAAGATAGTATTTTATTAGAAAGGACGTCTAGAACGGACATAATAAGCGTTTTTGATCGATATATTTAGAACTAATGTTTGTAGTAAGGACGGTTAAATAAATGAATATAGCTTTTGAAGTTTGACCTTTAAAAATGTCATGGGGTTGTTCTTATTTTAGAACTTCAAGGCTTTAGGTTTTTAAAGATACAACAAATGTATTAATATCTTTTTTTGGAAATCTGTACGTAAGTAGTACGAATGCATGCATTCGTCAAAAACTATAGGCGGGTTTAACGTTGCCGTTTCATTGACAGTCTTCAGTGTTTCTAAGCAAGAAGCAACCATTTGTCGGCCTCCTGCAAGCAACTATTCTGTTTGACGAATACAGTAGGTCGTACTTTGACTTGCAATTATGTTAAGTAGACTACCACTTTAAGAAAACATATAACACGCGCCTGTCATATTACAAATAAGTCTCCTAAACGAAGATCTATCACAAATACTGCACTACAACACATTATTATGACTTCGTGTTAATAGTCAGTAGGCATTGCTATATTTGCCCATATCACGCAATAATAAGTCGTCGACCCCAAACTACACCAGTAGCAAATATAACAAAATAAAGGTGCCTTTGATCATTCAGTTAGTTTTCACTTTGTTTAATTAAACTACATCGTTAACGCGTACGTTAACCTTAATTCCAGTGAAATGTTGCGTTTAGAATAATTAGTTACATAGTCAATTTTATTAGTTTAATGTCCACCATTTTGCGTATTCTCTAGGGCTTAGACTGACTGATGTTAAGCCCTTTTTAGGTCGCTATATCATAACGATTATAGTTAATTGCACAGAAAATAATGAAGTAGGGGTAGTACAATAGTAATTGTATTTTTAAAAGATTATATAGCGAGAAATTTAGAAGCATTACTAGGTTTTTAAAAAATTCTGAGTAGTAGCACGGAGTCTGGAACTGTTCCCGGTACCTATATGGCAATAGGCTCACCCCCTATTACATGGGCCTCATAACATAAATAGTGAAAAGTGGGTGTTACATTGTACAGTGGTATAATGTGCTCCTCTGTCTACCCCTCCGAGGATAAAAGGCGTGATATTAAGTAAAATATAAATTTAGAAGCAATATCAATTTATATACCACTATATCATCATCATCATAATATCAACCACAAGAAGTCTATTATTGTAAATACAAATTTCCCAGTGACGTCCAAATCGACCGGTTAGAAATCAGGACGAGAAAAATCCACTTTCCGCTCTAATAACTAATCCGAATTCGATATTCTTACATACTTGTATATTGTATATATTGTATATGTAATAAGCCATCCGCCCCGGCTTCGCACAGATGTAATATGCATGTATTATACGTATAAACCTTCCTTAAGAATCACACTATCTATTAAAAAAACCACATTAAAATCCGTTGCGTAGTTTTAAAGATCTAAACATACATACGGACAGACAGACGGGGGGTAGCTACTTTGTTTTATACTATGTAGTGATATGTAATAAGCCATTGGATTCCTAATACAGATAACAATTTCGCCTGATTCCACGTAATTCTAACAAGTATAGATCACGAGACCTTCATAATAATAATAGGGTATTACAATAACATTCTATTCATACGAGAAAATGCCATGTTTTCAATGGGATGACGTAGTCTTTACATAACAAGGGAGAAAGTAACTTTGATGATACGTTGTAGGTAATGAGGGTACTTGTTTGTTTGTTGTAGTATTTAATGATGCGAGCCTTAGAAGCATGGAGGTTCGTATGTTTTCACTCTGCCTTCTGGCTCTTTGCGTTTGTAAAATTGAAGGTCTGTGTTTAATTGATGTTTTGTTGTTCAAATCTTAGTATCTATATCTGTCGCGGAGAACCTAACGGGTAACCGGGGCTCCGGCTCGACGTGCAGGAGAAGGAACGGGGTGGTTTTTAGTCAGTAAGAGTCTGACACTCCCTCCCGCCTTACCCAGGCGGGAGCAGTCATTCGATGATTTTCCCCCCTTAAAATAACATAGAATATGAATTTTAAGACAACATTATAAAAAAAAATATTTTGGTATGTGCATCGTATTTAGGTATATTCATATGCATGCAGTAAAAAGCCGTTTATTTTAATATTAGAAGCAGATACTCCAATTTTATTTATCTGTATAGATAACAATAAGGGTATAAAACATTCGTACCTAGTATGTACGTAGTTCTCAAGTGACTATTTGGTAATGATAAATAGCTATTATTTTCCTCTCGGACTAAAATAATCTGTCACATAAAACAACTAAAAATCGGTTCATAAATTGCCCAAGTTTGGTAACTACCGATCTCACTAACTGCCTTATTCAATCCAGAACTGGCGAGAAGCCAGAAAAACGGGATCAGAATGAGGTTGTTACATAGTAAGGTAAAATACTATGAAATGTTAATGGAATGGTATACTACACTTTTTTTAAGGGGGAGGTAGGGAGTGTCAGACTCTTATTGACTAAAAACCACCCCGTTCCTACTCCTGCCCTTCGAGCCGGAGCTCCGGCAACCCGTTAAGTCCTCCACGACTCCGTATCGGCATCAGCCCTATTGGGCCCCATCCGTAGTGGTCTGATGGCACTTTGAGGCGCGCGCAGAACGCGACGCGCCGTACGCTACACTTAGAAGCAAAGAAACGGAGTCACTAGCATTTGCAGACTTCGTGCTACTACTGAGAATTTTTTAAAAACCCGGTAATACTTTGCCCGACCCGGGAATCGAACCCGAGATCCCTTGCCCGGCAGTCGAACTTGCGACCACTCGGTCAGGGGCAGTCACCCGTGTCGAGTATACAATTTAATATAATATTGATTCAGTCATATAGACGGCTTGTACTTTAGGAATATGGAGGTTAAATGGCTATCCTGGGAATTGTATATCGTGTTAGTTTTTTTATTTTCCAATTTGTCTGGTTTCGAATGTATGTTGATGTTGATGTCATTATTGTAAGTACTTTGGTTATTTGTCACAAGTTTCAGTTGCAGTTACAAATGAATCTGGCTTAGACTTCAGAAGTCGGTACCAACTTATTTGGAAAAAGGCCAGAAAGTTGCGGAAATGCTGTTTGGTTGCCGAAGAATTTTTAGATGTAAAGCGTAAACTCGTACTTTGTAAGAATCATCCTTACTTGGATAAACTTAAGTGTTATAAGTTCTCAATTTGGATACTACATTTGCTGTTTACGATTCAAGATCTAACCCTTGACCTCAACAACTGGCATGCCAAGCATTTTGATCGGTGCACCAATAGATAAATTGGCACAAATCGCTTGGGTGCCTTATCTGGCCAACTTCCTGCGGGCGACCGGGGCCCGAGGTTGCAGGGGTCAAGGTCCCTGAATATTTGATTATGTTTGAAGGTCCCTGCTAATTGCCAGCCGGCCTGCGAAGGTCATTTTGCCAATTAGGATTAATGTGATAATACCTGTAGGTAAATTTGGTGTATTATCTTCATATATGTGGGTTTTTAGTGCATGTAATAGCTATTTAGACGTTGTGGAAGCTTCTGAGAGTA